TTGCTGCAACATCGATGCACTTAGATCTCCTTGGGAATTGCTAGCTGAGGCGAAAAGGAAATACACCCTTTTTAATTAAATGTGCACCCCTTAAAGGCCTGACTTTTGTTAGCAAGCTTTATTAGACAGGTCGATGCATTATGTCTGCCCAGATGTAGTGCACCATCTGTGATCAAACTGATGCACGGTCCCAATCCTACGTGCATTTCCTTACTGAATGCGGCTTATGTGGAGGAAAGTTCAGTGTAGCCTCCATGATAATTCACAGACCTGGTTTTGGGTTCCAGGTATGTGCGAACAGGATCTGTTTTACATGGTGAGCAGTGGTCAGTTCTTCCAGGGAACGCAAAACGCTAACATAGTCCTCCATTTTATCCTCACAACGACCCTGTGAGGTAGGCCAGGCTGAGAGCCATGGACTAGTGAGCTTCACACCCAAGGGGGACTAGGACCTGTATCCTTCAAGTTCCACTGCCATCCTGACTCTCATGTGCATACACACATGCATAACAACACACACACAGATCGGTAGTACACAGCATAATACCCGAAGGGTTTGGATCAGCATATCCCAGGGGCTTTTATGACTTTTACTCCTTGACTTTTATTCCGCTGTGCAAGTCAAGACGTGGGACACGAGGTTTGCTCCTAGTCCAACATCCGAGCACTGCCTGGAGCTGCAGCTGCTCAGTTTAGAGGCTCAGCAGCATCGTATGTCCCCAGATCAGATCATGTGTACAAAGCACATCCCAAAGGATATTCAAGAGCAGCCTCTCTCCAAGGCTTCAGCTGCCACGACTCAGTATTTCCCGTGGCATGTTAGACATGAATTGTTATATTGCTACCCATTTGGTGCTTCCAGTACGGTGTCACTGTGCCCGCGCTACACAGTGGCCCATGTGCCTGACTTCAGGTGCAATCCTAAACTCGTTTAGACAAAAAAGAGGCCTACTGTTCCCAGCATGCCTTAGCTACGATGGCTGGGGCATGCTGGGAGCTGCACACCTTTAGGATTGTCCCCTTCCCGAGTCTCTACATCAAACTGGAGGAGAGAGCAAGAAGTGTCACGACCCCCACAATGCTGAATTTGAAACGCCTTCATTCTGACAGCCAACCTCTTGCAAAGCTCACCTGAAGATGCAAAGTGAGAAGGTGCAACCCTAATCAGGAACTGATGCTTCTGTCTTGCCCGGCGTTGTCCACTTTCTAGCAGAAATTATCTAGGCAGTGCCTAAAGATGGAACGTAAGTGCTCAGCCACTGGGAGTGTTAACTATTCTTTAAATGACATCCACTTCCGCATGAGGAACCCAGTATCTTGCCTTTCAATGCAGAGATCTGCTAGTGAGCCGAGCCACCTATCAACCTGGAAGGGAGGCAAAGCAAACCAGGGTGGTGACTCTCGCCACCAGATTTGTGGTGTACACGTGTGCGTGGGAGAGGTTGGTGGCTTTTGAGCTGGATATGGCTGTGACTGGGTTCAGACCATCTTCAGACCATGGATGATCATGCTGACTGACCCCAGCTGGGAAAACAAGCCATGGTGAACAAGCCACAGGTCATAACCCAACCATAAACCATGGCTTCTCTTTGTGTTTTATTTGTAGTTAACAAGGCATGGCTTGTTAGTGCTGCTGGGTTTAGACAACTTGATATAGTTTTCCCATAACCTGAAACACCTGATCCTGATTTTGGAAGCTAAGCAAGATGCACCTGGTTGAAATCTGGATGAGTAACTTAAATATTGTGAACTACCTAGAGAGCTTTGGCTATGAGGGGTATGGAAATTAATAATAGCAACTCACATACCAGCAGTAATCCATGGATCAGTAACAACCCATCCTCAACCCTTGAGGGTGAGTTATTGTGTTGTCTAGACCCAGCCTGCATCCGTTTTGTGTAGTTGTGAACCTGGATGTTAGCAGAAGGGGTGGGTCACCTCCATGGAACATTTTTTTAAGATGTCACTGGGACTTTTCATGAAATTCTCCAAGGCCAAAACATTGCCCTGGAAGGCCCTTTCACACGTTTACCCTGGCAAAATTGGGCTCGCCACTTCTGCATTCACTCCCATAGGTCACTCCTGCTCAGTCCTGGCTCTCTCGGGCCCATTCACACGTGCACACAGATGCCCTGCTAACCTGTTGCTTGAATGCACGAACAGACCCTGCCCTTCAAGGTGCCCAGGGATGCTGCAGGAGTCCTCCTCTTCTGCAGCCGACCCTCCCGATGTCCATTCGCACATGCAGGCCCAGCCCGACCCTTCCTCCTCCCTTAGGGGCACAACACACCCGCTCTGCCCCGCCCCCGCACTGCGCTCCGGCACGACGCCTCGGGCGCGCACACGCAGCACGCGTAACGTGTGGATGCGCCGCGCCGCGCTGCCCTGCGGGGAAGCCCTGGGAGCTGCGGGCGGCGCAAAGCGGGGGAGCCGGAGCCGGTGGCGTGCCGGCCGCCGGGCCCCGGCTCGCTCGCCCCGCCCGCGGAGACGCGCCCCATCCCTCCGCCCCGCGCCGCCCAGGTGCGCTCCGGAGCCGCGGCGCACGGGGGCGCAGCGTCCCGTCTCTCGGCGACGGCCGCCCTCCAGACGCCAGAGGTCCCTGCTGCAAGCGGGGCGGTGGGAGCCGCTCTCGGCGGCCGATCGGTCGCCTCGCCGCCGCTTCCTCCTCCTCCTCCTCCTCCTCCTCCTCGGCCTCCGGCATCCCCCGGGATCGGAGGCCGGGCGGCTGAGATGAGCAGCCCCCGGGGGCGCGGCGAGCAGCAGCAGGAGGCTCCGGCGCCGGGCGGAGCCGCTGCCGGCGACAGGATGGGCGAACCCGCAGGTGGAGGCCTCGCCCGGTGCTGTGCTGGGGGGCGGCCCGGCTCCCATTTTGCCGTGGACGGCAGAGGGGCCTCGCGGGGGCGGGGGCGGAGGGCGGCATCAGGGGCCGGACTCGTCATCTCTGCACGCGTTCACACGTTCCTCCTGCATGCGTTTCGTCTCCTCCTCCCCGTGTCTTCCGGCGGCCCCTTCTGGCTCTTCATTCTCCCAAACGGCGATGGCTGTGCGCACCTATTTTCTCCACCGTTTGTTTGTGCCCCCCCTTTTTCTGCACCACCCCCATTGTCTGTCCTTCCTCTTTTGCCCTCTCCGCCCCGCCCCGCCCCACCCCACGCCCGTTCCCCAAGGTTAGGCGGGTCGATGGGCGGTGGGAAGGCCGTGGCTCGTTTCGAGATGACCGGTTCCTTTCTCTCCTTTTCTAGAGAGCGGCATGTGTGAATGGGCAGATCCTTGCAAAGGTGGGTTGTGAGATCAGGGATTTGCGACTAACAGGCGTTCGGGTTTCCTGAACCTGGCGACCTGCAGATGTTTTGGACGGGAATGCTGGGAAATGCAGCCCACCGCATCTGCAGGGCACGTGATTGGAGAGAGCTGGCCATTTTGGGGGTTAAGGGGGGGTTCAAATCTGTTTGTAAGGGGTGGGAAGGGGGGGTCATCCCATGTGCCATTCTGCTGGAAAACCTTACATCTAATCAAATATACAGAAAGAGACACATACACGTTTATTACTACACCTTTGTAGTAAGCTCTGATGTTTTGGAGTTCCTTCCATTGCAATCCTTTGGAATATATGCCCATTTTCAAGCTTGGGGTTTTCGTTTGTTCGCTTGTTTTTTAAACAGTGACAATGAGGACTAGAAACTTGGCTTCTTTCCGCTTGAACTTTTTCTTTTTTTTAATGTTTTTTTAATGTTTGTTTTTTTAATATTTGCATGTTGGGTTGAGGCCCTAGTTCAGACACATGCTTTGTGTAGAGATAGCTGCAGGTTCCAGTCCATCCTTCCCAGAAGAAGGTTGTTGGGTTGTTGAACTAGGAAAGGCTGATATTGGAGCTGGGGTTAGGCAAAACATCTGTTTTGTTCCCTGTACACAGATTATACGATATGAGCAGGTTTTTGCAAAGTGGGATCACAGGAGAATTTGCAGAATTTGGTTCCATCACACATCCAAGTTCAAGAACCATGTGTAACCCCATGCAATGTAGCCCTCTGGTGGAAGGCCAGCATTTAACCCCTTTTGGACCCCACTGAGCCATTCTAGTGCAAAAGGTGGGCAGTGCAAAAGGTGAGAGAACAAAAGAGTCACACCTGGAAACTCTTGCCGGATTGCCTGCTTCTACTTTGCTCACAACCTAGGAATACCTCCCAAGTTGTCATCATGATGTGCGAACCAAGCACTCCGATTATTAAGGGTTAAACAACCAGCATTTCAGCCTAACAACAAACCATGGGTTAAACTGTGGGTTCTTTAACCCTAAATAACAAAGAGCCAAATTCTCACATCTCAGCCACCACCCAGGAACTCTCTTTCATTTTATTGTGTCAGAGCCATGGTTTTAAACAATTATTTATCTGAATGCTCGTTTTGCTTCCTCGCCATCATCCATGTTACAAATGGTTGGGGTTGCCGGGTGAAATGGCAGAGGGGCCATTATATGGTTTTCCATGACATTCCCTCTTCCTTCTTAAATAGAATCTTTCAGTTCTGTACACTGCTTTCCCCTGAACCCTTTTCTGAAAAGTGGGGCCTATGCACTAAAAGCATCACAGGATACTTAGGGGTCTGCATCTTTCTTCTTCGCCCACTACACTACAGCCCCACACCCCACAGTTTCCAGTTCCCCAAAGGATCGCTTGCAGGAAAGTCGAGGTTTCTCTGGTGCTCTGTGGAAGCCACCTCTTGCAAGAGCCTTCTGCAGGGCACCTTGTCTGCTGGAGGCGGGCTGCGAGAGGCTGAACCTGTGTGCATTTCCACTCCTTAAAGTTTAAGGGTGTTGCTCGTCTGTTCCTGAACGGCACGTTTGGTAGAACTTTCCTTTGCACAAATGGCTGTGTGTTGCTTGGCTGGATCGCAGCCCCCCCCCCCCCCCCCCCCTGCAATACCCCCCCCCCCCCCTCTCTCTCTCTCTCTCTCTCTCCCCCCCCCAAGGAGACACTGGGGACGAATCGGTCCCTTTCTCTTGCCCTTCCTGCCACACCAACTTCAAGGACCACTCCGAGTTGTCGGCTCATGTGGATTCCTGCTGCCCAGAGCAACCCACCTGCTCGGCTGCCGCCACAACCACTCCAGGCCAGGATCACTCCAGCATCTCCTCCTCCTCCTCCTCCTCTTCTGTGGAAGTCCGTCCTGAAAGTCCGGCGCCGAGCATGGATGTCGAGTCTGGGACCCTGCTGACCGACCAAACCCACGAGCCGGCCCTGCCTCGGCCACCGCCACCGCCGCCCCCGCCGCTGCCCCCCTCGGCCGCCGCTGTCTCCACGGGGCACCTCAACATCCCACTGATCCTGGAAGAGCTGCGTGTCCTGCAGCAGCGGCAGCTGCACCAGATGCAGATGACGGAGCAGATCTGCCGACAAGTGCTGCTCTTGGGCTCCCTGGGGCAGGTGGGGTCGCCGGCACCCTCCGCAGATCCAGCGCCTGTGGCATCCCTCCCCCCTAAGCCCCCCTTGCCGGTCTTCTCCATCAAGACGGAGCCGGGGAGGACCCAGGCGTCCAGCTCCCCGGAGGTGCCCAAGCCCACGTTCTTCCACCTATACCACCCTTTTCCCAGCGGGGCGCGAGTCCCCAAGGCCGAGCAGCTCCTGGCCCCGGCCTTCCCCACGGCCACAGGCCTCCTGGCAGCCCAGTGCTTGGGCGCCGCCCGGGGCCTGGAGCAGGCCACTTCCCCGGGGCTGCTGCGGCCGAAGAATGGCGGGGCGGGAGAGGCCAGCCTGGAGGAGAAGCCCAGCGGGCGCCACAAGTGCCGCTTCTGCGGCAAGGTCTTCGGCAGCGACAGCGCCCTGCAGATCCACCTGCGCTCCCACACAGGCGAGCGCCCGTACAAGTGCAACATCTGCGGGAACCGCTTCACCACCCGCGGCAACCTCAAGGTGCACTTCCACCGCCACCGGGAGAAGTACCCTCACGTCCAGATGAACCCCCACCCGGTCCCGGAGCACCTGGACTACGTCCTGACCACGTCGGGGTTGCCCTACGGCATGTCCGTCCCCCCGGAGAAAGCCGAGCCCGGAGATGAGATGGCGACCCCGCCGGCCGCCGAACGCAAAGCCCTCAGCGCCACCGAGAGCCTGACGCTGCTCTCCGGAGCGTCTCCATCGGCCGCCGCCCAGGCCTTGCCCAGCTTCAACAAGCTGGTCCTCATGAAGGCCGTGGAAGCAAAAGGGAAAGGCGATGAGAACACGCCCCCGGAAAGGGAGGCGGAGGGTGCCCGGCTGCAGCTGGGGAAGCTGGTGGGCTCCTTGCCCAGCTGGGCGCTGCTGGCCAGCCACTTCAAGGCGGGCACGGCGGTGGGGCCTTTCCCCTGTGTCCTGGAGGCATCGCCCTCGGAGACCTCCAAGCTGCAGCAGCTGGTGGAGAAGATCGACCGGCAGGGGTCCCCGTCCTCCTCCTCGTGTGCCGTCCCCGTCACGGCCGCCACGCAGGCGGCGGCGGCCTCCTCCTCTGCCTCCGCATCGCCGCCCGCCTCCTCGGGGCCCAACCAGTGCGTCATCTGCCTGCGCGTCCTCAGCTGCCCCCGAGCTCTCCAGCTCCACTATGGGCAGCACGGCGGAGAGCGGCCCTTCAAATGCAAGGTGTGTGGACGGGCCTTTTCCACCCGGGGGAACCTGCGGGCCCACTTTGTGGGCCACAAAACCAGCTCGGCGGCCCGAGCCCAAAACTCTTGCCCCATCTGCCAGAAGAAGTTCACCAACGCCGTCAGCCTGCAGCAACATGTCCGCATGCACCTTGGTGGGCAGATCCCCAACGGGGCGCTCCTCCCCGAGCCCCCCGCTTCTGAGGGGGCCCCCCTGGGCGAGGGGGAAAAGCAGCAGCAGCAGCAGCAGCAAGCTTCTCCAAAGGATGAGGAGCTCTCGGAGGAAGAGGAAGAAGAGCCCACGGATGAAGACTCTTTGGAGAGTGGAGGGGAAAAGGCCGAGGGGCCCTCAAGCCCTGAACAGGAAGCTTCGGGGCCCACCAAGGAGGCGGAGGACACCGTACAGGCAGAGGAGGAAGATGGAGGCACCAGCGCTGCCTCGCCTCTGGGGCCCGGAAGCCCTCGGCGCCCTGTGCAGGAGGGGGAAGAGAAAGCCGAGATGGAAAAGGGGGGAATGCCGCAGGAGGAGGAGGACCCGGAGAAGGGAGCAGGAGGGGAAGGTCCGTCGGAGAGGCAGCAAGGAAGCCAGGCCAAAGAGGGTCCGACACTCGTTTGCGGGCTGTGCAAACAGGCCTTCCCAGACCGGGCCGCTCTGCGTAAACATGCACTGACTGCCCACCACCAGGTGAGTCCGCTGCTCCTTCTGGGTATCTCCTGCTGGGCCCTGTGCTTTCCCTGCTGTGCATTCAGCATGGTCTGCTTATTCCTACATGGCTTGTGTCTGTGTGGGCTCCGCCATCTTGCTCCTTTTAACTGACACTGGAAGTCGACTCCCTTCCCAACCCTGGTGACAGTCTAGCTCAGCCTTGCCCAACTTGGCACTCTCCAGAAGTGTTGCAGGGCAACTCTTGTGATGGTTAAGGGCTGTGCTGGCTGGGGATTGTGGGAGCTGCAGTCCAGCATCTCTGGGGAGTGCCTGGTGGGAAAAGTCTGGCCTAGACACTGTAGGCCAGCCTTCTCCAACCTGGTGGTCTTTGGAGGCGTTTGGACCACCACTCCCAGAATTCCCATCCAGCAGGGCCGTTGACTGGGAATTCTGGGTGCTGCGGTACAAACGTGCCTGGGAGGCGCAGGATTGAGGAAGGCTGCTGTAGGCCATACCAGACTGGGCGCACGTACGGCAGGTCATCGTGGTTTCTAACATGTCACCCCTGGCTGATAAGCTACCATCTCTTACATTGTGTGAACCAAGTCAATGAGTGGGTTCAGACAACACAGTAACTCACACTCAAGGTTTCAGTGTGGGGTGAATACGGGTTGTTGAACCACAGGCTTTTGTGGAAACGTGGGTTATTGCATCATCTGTACTCAGCTGCATTAACAAGCCATGGCTTGTGAACCATAAACAATCCATGGATGGTTGCTGGGTTATGAACTGTGGGCTGGGTAAAGACAACACAATAACCCATGTTTCTATAACCATGTTTCAGTAACCTACGTTTCAACAACCCGCACTCCGCCCTTGGGGTTATCCTGTGTGAACCCAGTCCCAATCTAGAACTGGGCAATAATGTACCACGATGTTACGGCTTAAGGCCAAATCAGCATCAACATGGTGGTAGTTCTGGTCACTTTCCTCTCTCAGGTGATGCTGCTCAGCCCAGAAATGCTCCTCCGCCGTCCCTTTCTAGAAGCGGTTGCTAGGCAACCAAACATGGCTGCCTCGTATCAAATGCTTGCGTTCTGCAGTTTACCCAAACAACCAGCCCTGACTTCTCTTTTAAGGAGGAGTGATAGCACTATAAAAACTGACTGTTTCTCATGGGGAAAATTCTGAGCACTGTCCCAAAACATCACCAGCCACAATTCCTTGAGGGAAGCCACCACGGTTAAAAACAGGCTTGTGTTTGTACTGGGGATCTCTCCGCAGGAATTCAACTCTACAAATTACTCCCCTGTGAAAAGGGCCTCCAGCTTTCCCTGTGAATCACAGGTCCACAGTCTTTTAGGGCTGGTAGGCACATTGGTAGCTTTGACGGTGACATTGGCACTTTCACAAAATGGCTTCTGTGGGGGGGGGGGGAGCATAGCCCATTCATAGAATGGGACCGTGATGCTCATTTTCCAGAAGCGAAGCAGGTGAGACGACAAGGAAAATAATTTGTCCAAGGGCCTGAGCAGAAAACCTATGTGGAGGCTGGGATCTATTATTATACTTATATGATTATAATATTATCTGTTATAATTATATTATAATTAAGCCTGCCCTTACAAGTTTCTCTTTCTTGCCGTTTTATCCTCATAACAATAGCCCTGTGGAGTAGGGTGGGCTGAGAATACATAACTGGCCTGAAGTCACCCAGAGAGCGCCGTGGCCAGCGTGATGTGGCGGTTAAGAGGACGGGACTGGGACTCAGGAGTTCCGAGTTCGAGTCTCACTCCACCGTGGAGCCAACTGGGTGACTTTGGGCTAGTCATAGACTCCCAGCCCAACCTACCTCACAGGGGTGTTGTTATGGGGATAAGAATATGAGCAGCAGGAGGAGAATGCTGTAAGCTGCTTTGAGCTCCTTACCTATGAAAAAAGGTGGGATATAAATCTAATACATAAATAAATGGCTGAGTGTGGACTAGAACCTAATTCTAAGTCCAACATTGAACACTGCATCACAAAAGGTCTCATTTGAACCCAAATATTTGGCCACGTAATCAGAAGGAAGGACTCCTTGGAGAAGAGTCTAATGCTGGGAACAATAGATGGCAAAAGAAGAAGGGGACGGCAGAGGATGAGGTGGCTGGATGGAGTCACTGACCCAGTGGGTGTGAGCTTGAGTGGACTCCTGGGGATGGTGGAGGATAGGAAGGCCTGGAGGAATGTTGTCCATGGGGTCGCGATGGGTCGGACACGACTCCGCGACTAACAACAACAAAGATAGCCCTGGAAGGCAGCATTTGGCTTTGGTAGCCCATTTCAAAAAGAGTTATTAAATTGAAACAAAGACCCTCCAGACAAAATAAAAACTGGGTGAAGTGCTGAGCCTGGCAAGCTCCCAGAGCAGCATCTGTGGCCATCTTGGCACCCAAGAACACCCCATGGGAGACCAGGAGCTTGGCAGGAATCGTCATTTCTCAGGCCCATCCCTGGCACACTCTTGGAAATCTGTAAATTCCAAGGTTAATGATTGTCCCTCCAGTCCCGTGTCCCGTTGGGGCTTTCTCCCAGATGCTGCCGCGCTCAGTGTCCCGCCTCGCCTTCTCGTTCCCAAAGGTTAATCTCGGCAGCCCCGTCTGGAGCAGCCAGGCACGACGGGGGCGGCGTGTGCCCCTCGACGGCCCGGTGCCTGTGCTGTCCGGCGGCCAGGTCAAGCTGCAGGACTTCCTGGGACGCGACGTGCCAGCCCAGCTGGTGGGCGTGGGGCCCCTGTCTTTCTGGAACCAGTACACCGCCTTCCTGTCCGGAGGCCTCCCAGCCAAGCCGGCCCACAGCACCTCTGCGCCTGCCCTGTCCTCCTCTTCCTCCTCTTCCAACATGGCCACCCCAAGCCTCTTTGGATCAAGCGGCGCGCCTGGACGGGCCGGCCCTGGCGACGGCAAAGAGAAACCCCCCGTGGGACCACTGCTGCTGCTTCCGCCGCCGCCCACCCCGGCCCCCGCTCCCGCTCCGGAGGTGCCCCCAGAGAGCCAAGGGAAGGGGGAGAAGTAACCGGATGGCGACGCAAGCCCCTGTCCGGTAAGAGCGCCCAGACTGCCGCACCGCACAGTAGAGCTTTGCATGATGCAATTCCCCCGACGAGATCGGTGACGCAAAGACCAATTTCAGAGAGGTTCTCGGGGGCCGCATGCCGGTGGTGGGCAAGGCGAGGAGGAGGGGACCAACCTGCCAGAATGAAGCTTAGCAGAGGTGTGTCAGCCTCTTAGCGTGGGGATCACACAAGCAACCCAGAGAGTGTTGGTTGAGAACCACAGACCTCTGATATGGCGGGACTCCAGCTCACCTGGCTTCTCCCATCCAAGATTGGCTGAAGCATTTTGTGCAGCTTAATGAGGGTCTAGGGCAGAAGGTGTGTTGACACGGCATCCATTCATTTCCGTATAATTTTATACTTTTCTTCTCTTCCAGGGGGAACTGTGCTAGTGATACCCAGGGTGTGGGGGGAAGAGATCCCCACAGCAAGCCCTGCAGGAGAAGTGACTCCAGTCTAATTCTAGCAGCATTTTAGTCTTTTACTTTTAATGTAGCTTGGACGACCGTCAGCCGGAAAGAGATGATCCAGTCGGTGGGCGGGGGAGCAAGGGAGCCGCCTGGAACCTTTTATTATTGGGGCAATAATAAAAAATGGGTCCCCACTAGTGAAGGGAAGGATGCCAGAATGTTCGGGTCCAGCAAGGAGAAGATACCTTGAATTTTCCCCCAATAAAAGCAGTTTGACAGAACGATCAAGCCTTCGGATCTTATTGTTAGCAGGGGGTAGAAAGGTAACTCGGTTAGACACTTGCTGGGATACAGATGTTTGCAATCTGGTACAACTTTGGGGAGGGGTCCCATCTTTACAGACCCTTTGGACGTGCAGCCTTCTGCCAAATAGCCAGAGGGAAGCTGCAAGTACAGCTGCAGAGCATTACTAGATTTGGGGCCCAAGATCATTAGGGACACACACGTACATCTCATTTGCATACATTGCTTTATGTCTGTATATGCCCATGTCGAATTAACTGCAGCACGTTAAACAGGTGCTGTTTAAATTTTACAAGGTAGTCCATTGATTTCTGGTCCAGATCACTCAAAATAATTTTTTTTGGCTAATTTGCATCCAGTCATAAATCATTTCAAAGCAATGTAAAGACTTCCCCCATCCCAATTTAATTGCTTGTTAAGGAGAGATATTGGGGGGGGGGGGGTTAACCCTTCCCTTCCCAGATACAGTACCCATTGAAAATTCCCCCATACCTAATGGCAATTAAGCTAAGACGGAAAAAAAAAAAAAAAACTTTGAAGACTCAGGAATCTGGTGAATAGGTTCAGGGGCTCTGACAAATACACTGGGCTGGGGCCCCGAGGCAGAGCTAGGGGATTGGCCACTAGGGCTGGTGCCCCGAACCTCTGGAAGACCATCTGCCTTCTATGGGCACCTGCTAAAATAAAGGGGCTTCATTACATCTGGTCTTCCCTGGATTCCCCCCTCCCCCCATTTGGTTCGGCTCCCCAAGCCTTGAATTTTTCTGCCTGCAATTTTTTCCTCAAATCGGGCATGGTCTGCACATTACTTTGTACAAATCATACTGTCCTTAGGAGGCAGGATCCTTTAAAGACAGAGATTTTAGACAAATGCAAATTCGTGTGTTGTGCAGGTCCAGGGTTTGAGTACAAGGCAGTCCAAAGGTAGGGAAGCCAGAACCAGCCATAAAGTCAATCTGGATCTGGAATTTGATCCTATAAACCAGGTCCATCATCCAATTGAACAACTCTTCCTTGATTGATTGACTGATTTTTAAACAAATCTGCATATATTTGCATATGAATTAAGAGAATACTGAAAGCCAAAGCATTGTTTTCTTTGTTTTTAGATGCCGTAGCTCTTCCACTGGGCACCATCTGTTTAGAAGCGGCACTCATTCTCTTACTCAGCATGGAATGCCTTTCTTCCGTGCTGCAGCTTTTTGTAGTAAAATTAATTAACTTTTAACATGTGCCTTGATTAATGGGGGAGACTATTTAAAAATGGGCCACATGGCTTTTCTTCGCATGAAGTAAACTTTGCTATGCAGGGCCGTCCCATGTATGTTCGTGCCTTCAGAAGCAGGCCTGCATTAGCTCAATGCCGCTTCCCCGCTTGTGTTGGTGGGTTTGCAGCAAGCAGAGCAATCCAGTGTATGGGTACTTCCGTGTTCACTGGAGCTGTACCACTAAATGTCTCAGACCTCAGTTCTGGTATCCTCTGGATATGTTTACGCAGAAGGGAAGACTGAGGGGCAGAGGAACAAGGATGAATTCAAATGCACTCCCCACAGTAAGAGGAAAATTCATCTTCTCAAATGCAAGCAAGGACCGGGGTTTCAGATTTTGCTTGAATGTTTTGTTCACCTGAGAACAGTTCATGGGGAAGAGATTTAGCAAGGCGATCAAAACGGTCAGTCCTAGAGGAGATCAACCCTGACTGCTCTTTAGAAGGCCAGATCCTGAAGATGAAACAAATACTTTGGCCACCTAATGAGAAGGAAGGACTCCCTGGAGAAGAGCGTAATGCTGGGAAGAATAGATGGCAAAAGAAGAAGGGGACGGCAGAGGATGAGGTGGCTGGATGGAGTCACTGAAGCTGTTGACGTGAGCTTAGGTGGACTCTGGGGATGGAGGAGGACAGGAAGACCTGGAGGGTTGCTGTCCATGGGGTTGCGATGGGTCGGACACGACTTCGCAACTAACAACAACAAAGAGAGTGACTGTCGCGTTGGGGACATGAAAAGACAAAGCACTCTTTCGGTAGAAGACCACATCTTTTCACATTTTCCCATCAAGAGGATTCTCGGAAGCTCAGAAACACCGCTTTCCGGGCACAGAGTTCCTCCAGTGCAGAGCCTGTTTGATTGACGTGGAAACTCCAGAAGAAAGCAGAAAGAGGCAGAGAAGCCGCTCACAGCCTCTCGCTTCCCAGCATCATTTTCCAATTACAAGATCCTGGAGGGGCGAAACTGAAGAATTTATCTTCCCATGAAGCTGCCTCTTCCTGACAGATCCTTCTGAAGCTGGGCCTCCGCCCTCCACCTTTCCAGATCTGTCTAATCCGCCATGCTAATAAAGCACCTTTGTGCGAAGTTTAGGCTCTCCTTCCGTGTGCTGAGTTAATGCTTTCTGGAATCCCATCCGCCGGCTCACCCCCACCCCACGCACACATCAGTTACGGATAATGCCATTTAGTAGCTGTCCAGGGCTTCCTTTGTCACAGCTTCAACCTGGCAGGCCTCCAAAGGAGACGGGCCGCTTCCTTCTCAGAACTAATCTCTCCCCACCCCGACCTTCACTTATCCTTGTCACAGCGCCATCCGGGCTTTTCTCTTGTGTGCCATCCCTCCAAACTGGATCGCTTGGGCGCATTTTGAAAGGGGGAAAGCCCAGCAGTGCATTATGCACCGGCGAACAGAGCTGGGTTCGCATGGGCTGAAACGGCAATGCCTGCAGACAGACGTACACGGGTGTCAGAGATGGACACATTCCGCACACCGTGTCCGAAGGAAGCGATGGCTGTCGGCAGCCCTCGGCCTGGCCCCTGCCAAGCTAAGCCCCTGCAGGGAGAGCTCTTCCCATTCCATAACTCTTTCCTTCAGCCTATTAATCTGCATTTATTGACTGCCGCATAGGAAAGTCTGCCCCTGCTGGTTGAAGATATTCTCCAAGTTTACATAGAAATATTTACATTAACTAAAATTAATGTGTGCATTTCTAAAAAAAAAAAAAAACTGATGGCACATACACCTAGAGTCCCTTTAGTACGTATGTCAAGTTTCAGGTAGCTAGATGTCACGGTTTCGACCTGATGGGACAGACAGATGGACGGACAGACAGACATCCTTTTTGGTTATCATGGATGTTTTCTTGTGTGTTGCACTGCATTGCAAGATTGGTTTTTAATTTTAAAATCTCAAGCAGCTACTTGGTATAAGCTAATTAAATTTGATCATTCTAGATCTAGCTACTTCGTCAATATCTCCAAGGATCCTTTACTGAGGTCATTGAGGGCCCATCGGTGAGGGTGTTCAAAGATAGGTTGGACATGCACATGGTGGGCATGTCATGAGCGGAGCCGGCTGGAGCCAGAGGTCAGACTAGATGCCACGGGAGACCCCTTCTGACTCGCTCTGTTTCTATGTTTCTATGTTACTGCTTTGCATTTTCAAATCATGCAAACAGCCCTTTTTGCAGGTTGTTATTCTCACACTTCAACAGAACATTGTCTGTGTATTTGTGGTTCACCTGGAGTAGAGAATCTTCCCCTTTAGGTAATATCCTGCCTACTTTATAGAGCTCCAAGAGATAAAAATTTACCTGGAACTTTATTTGCTGATGATGCATATGGGAATTAAATGGAAGCAGCATGGGAATTAAATGGAAGCCCCAGGAGGTAAGCCAGAGAATGCCAATTATTATTATTTTAATGTGTATATTTTAATTTATGTGGTTTTAATTTATTGTTGTAAGCCGCCCCAACGCTTCGGCGAATGGGGCGGCATAAAAATGTTTTAATAAATAAATAAATAAATAAATAAATAAATAAATAAAGTGTCTGGGGAGGAGGTGCTGGCCAGGCACTTTTCCAGGGCCCTCCTCAAACCCAGAGCTGGCCCCAACTCTCAGCACCAGGAGAGCTCTGTTGGATCTGGCCAGTGGTCCGTCCTGTTCCTTAGCATGATTTGCTAGCTTAGGGGTGGTGCTACGCTAGGTACCAAAAAGCTTAGACTTGCAGGACCAGAAACATTGAAAAAACCCACAGATTTGCAGGTGCCAATATAGATACACTCTAAAGTCATGGTGCGGGCATGTGTGAGCATCTTTAAAGAGCACTGTGGAGGTGAAGCGCACATGGGCCGATCCAGGGCGAGCTGATGCAACAGAGACCCTCAGGGCCTCTGGGCCTTTATTTCAGCAGGTGGCAGGGATGGTGACCGCCCTGAACTTCAGGCATCCCACGAAGGATCTGGGCCTCCAGCCCTAGTGAGCTGTCATCTGAGCCAGAGACCTCTGCATAATGCACCAGCAGCAGCAGCAGCAACTCCTCATTCTCCCGTGATGGCTGCTCAGCAATGGGACTCTGCACCTCTCTGAACATGGGGTTTCCATGCTGCCTGTAATGACTGCGCTCTCTTGCAGGGATGTTTCCTTTCCTTTTGGAGACCTCAAAGTCCAGAAGAAAATACTTATTCTGCCCAACACATTTTGGAAAAAATAATCTTTTCCTCCCTTCCTCAGGGGCTGCTGATCTTTCTTCTGAAAAAGGAAACCTTCTATGCCTCGTCTGCTGAAATGTTTCTTGGCATAAATACTCCTTGGGCAGAAAAAGTGTTTTCTCCAGGCGCCTGGGGAATTTCTCTCTTGTTGCACCATCATTAAGTGCTTTCCCCTCTTCGGATCGAGGAACTTCCAGCATTCCCGACCATGCGGCAAGCTCGGAGGGGCTTCCGGGAGCCGCATTCCCAAAGCCTGGAAATCTCACTTCTGCCCACCCTTGGGGCGGTCAGAGCGGGGGGGGGGGGGGGGGGGGGATCGGACCCTTTACAAAAGTGGCTGCCCAAGCTTCGCCTCCCGCAACCGGAATGGCCGATTCCATTCTCCCCGCCTTGCCAGTCACTCGAAAGCTTCATATCGAGGTGGGGGGAGGCGGAAGTGTGCGCTGCTATTTCCGTCCCCCAGGCGATGCTTCCGGTTCCCTGCCCGGTTGCCTTTGTCG